CGCTCTTTTCGAGCCTGATGACGTGGCAGATCCTGCTCAGTGTCGGAGATTCTACGAGCGGCTCAGATCTCTCCTCAAGGTTCGTCTCACTTGACGTCGTGGAAGAGGACGTCACCAGATCCTCCAGATCCGTTTACTGTGACCACTGCCGAGTGGTTGGTGAGTCAGCTCACTTCGAACTCGCCTTTACCTCACTCTAATCCAAACAAAAAGACACTGTACTGTTTTTTTCTTCCGTAAAAAAAATTAAATAATGAAAACAGAAACAACTTGAAGAAAAAAACCCAACATGCAGAATAAAATATGAGGAATTATTACAAATCACCCAGAGAAAAGTTCGAGAATTTTGATAAAAAAAAGAGACTTAACTTTGAAGTGAATGTGTACGTGTTTTCAAAGGTTGGAGCGGGCATCCAGTGTGCAGGAAGAGATACCATTTCATCATAAGGTCAGGAGACAACGAGAGCATCGACGGCATTGGGCAGAAATCATGTTCGCTTTCCGACAGCTCGGTTTTACTGGCGGACGATGTCGAGAACTGGGTTTACTCTCAGCTCGACGACGACCACACTCACCTCCTCCACGGTGTTATCCACTCCAACGGCTATGCCCATCTCTTGTCACTCAACGGTAGAGAAGGCGGCTCGGGCTACTTGCCTGGTCGTGCCATCATGGACTTCTGGGATAGACTTTGTTCCTGGCTCAGAGTTCGGAAGGCGAGTGTGATGGATGTGTCTAGGAAGTACGGTATGGATTACCGATTACTTCACGCAGTCACCAGAGGGCATTCGTGGTACGGAGAGTGGGGATATGAATTCAAATCCGGGAGTTATGCTCTCACTCGTGATGCATACCAGAATGCGGTGGATACGCTTTCGGATGTTTCCTTGTCTCAATTCATGTTCCGAGGGAGAACGCCGAGAACTCAGCTCCACTCCATTATCCCTTTCTATCAGTCACTTTCATGTTCAGAACTCGTGACACTTCGTGACCTCTTCTCCTTCCTGCTCCAGCTAATCCACAATATTCGTTCCGGGAAATCTGAGGAACTTGCTTCAGTACCTTCGGATGTGTTGTGTTCTTGGACTAGGAGTGATGTGGGAACTGTACAGAAAGCCATGATCAAGGTGCTGAAAGCTGCAGGAGGTGAACGAGGAATATGGGTCAGTAGGAGGGCTCTCAAAGGATCTACTTGCAGAACAGTGTCTTTGGAGCTACTTGATTACTGTCTCTGTCATTTAGATGGGGAGCCCACCGGTGATGGATCTCATATTGTCTGCTCCAGATTCAATGCCTCTTCTAACGATCTGGAGTTCAGGTAATTTATGTCTGAAAGGTTTCTTTTCTCTGTCTGCAAGTTGGTTGCCTATTTTGCGTATATCTTAACTGACCTTATGATTACAGGCTTGTCCTGGTGAACTCAATCAATCCGACTGATCCACGTGTAGACTATCCATCAGAGGAGCATGTGAAACGTGACCTAAGATACGTGTATGACACTTTACTGCACCCACAAACCATGTCAAAATTTAGGTCTCAAGAAACAAGAGAGAAAATGATGGACGCATCAACTAAAATACTCGATTGTAAGCATTTCATAAAAGATTACCTGCCAGTCAATGTGAATCCCTTTGCCATCAACCTCTGGTGTCATGTGGAGCTTTCGGACCAGTCCAAAGAATGTCCAGCTCCACCCCCAGAACTTCTGGTTTTGCCCTTGAACGCTACTGTAACTGACCTCAAAATCGAAGCTGCTAAGGCTTTTCAGGAAGTGTATGCAATGTTCAAAAGGTTCGAGGTCGTGGAACTCCTAGGATACGGATCACTGGAAGATTCAATGACCCTGAAATTCCTAGTTGGCACCAGTGGTATGGTACGGATCAAAGGGCGATGCTCATCAAAGCATGGGCTCCTACGGTACCGCATGGAGAGGGGAGTCGAGAACTGGAAAGTTGATTGCGTGTGTGGAACAAAGGATGATGATGGGGAGAGGATGCTGTCTTGTGATGTGTGTGGTGTGTGGCATCACACTAGGTGTGCTGGGATCGACAACACTGATGCACTGCCGTCTAAGTTTCATTGTTTCAGATGCATCCAATTGTACAGGAAGAGATCGAAGCAATCTGATATAGTGCATGATTCTGGTCAGGTGCCTCAACCCACCTTTGTTTGTAGAGGCGAGTCTGTTGATATGGACAATGGGTCTAATTTATCAGTACCACTCACTGTAGGCTAACTATGTATTCCTGATCTAGCTATGTACAGTTTGAGATTTTATGCTAGGTCTAAAACTGCAAGTAGCAAAATTACTACATGCAACTTTTTTGTACACATCACCAAGAGGTTTCATGAATGCAGTTGCATGTTGACAAAAAAAAAATGCTTGCACAATAAGTGCACTTACCTCTTTCCTTGCTCAATTTGTGAACTTGCGCCTTACTCCTTACTCTCGAGTCTCCCCAAAAAGGAATTATGCCCAACAGCCGGACACTGACTCTGCTAATCATTCAAATATAACAAAACAAAATGCTCATCAAATTATGCATGATGGAATTATCAGAGAAACTAACCCAAAAAGCTTAATAGAAATGAAAAGAAAGTGATAATCAAGCTTTCCAGAAATAAGATAAGACAGAAACTTCAATATGCAAATCAAGGATCATATAACTGACCTTTCATCAAGGGAGCATGCATTTGTGTTCTCGCCAATTTGCAACAATACAAGCGTTTACATATCCATTGCAGTGTAACTTCTTCTCTCATTGATCTGGTGAGTTGGGATAGCTTCTCTGCATAGTCTCGCAGCCTGCATATTGTTGTCAAAATCTTTTTCCCCAATGGAAGGTGGTTTTGCTGTTAAATCAATGATAAATGTCTCAGCTGAGACAAGATTTGTCGAATAATAAGAAGCCCCACAGAATTTTTGCCAGCCTCCAATACAACTGAATGAATTTGAGGTTGGAGTGCAAGTGTGGAAGATTTGCCTGCAATTGCATACCAAAATAATCAGTTTGAAATAAGATGTTATTGGAGTGTACGTGTGGAATAGGACATAAAGTAACCCTAACTAAAGCATTAAAGCACGCCATATATTTCATACACCTAGGAAAATTTACAATCTTCTCCAAATAAATATTGTTTGTTTCAGATAGAGTGAACAAAGTGAGAAGGTTGAAAAGTAGCAGAGTGACTTACAGCCAAGATATCTTCAGCAGTTCTTTCTCTGCGAGCTGCAAACAAAGAGAGGGTGACCAGTCAGGCACCACAAGCGTTCCGTCAAATCAACCGCTGGTATTTAGAGTGCCACATTGATAAGCAAAAGTAATGCAAAGAATAGTCTGTATACCAGCAATGAAGCTTCAGCCTTCATTGTGAAGCTATAGAGGGATATCCAAATGTTTTGGGCCATAAAAAGGTTCTAAGCATTTCTATTTTGCCGAAGTATCTGCTGATCTGTCCAGGTAGAAGATGAGAAAGTTTTGGTGAACAGTTTTATCAATGACAATTTTCTCCACACGCTGAATTGAGCATTGAAGTAGATGTCTCTATCAATTCGTCAATGGCATTGTACACAGGAAAAAAAAAGAACATCCATATTAAAGAGTCAGAACCAGAGGAATTGCCTCCAAGACACAATCAATACCTTCGTCAGTCGCATTGGCCCATAAAGGATGATCCGTAAAATCCTTCCCCAAGGAAATAAAGAAGTATTGATCGTTCTTGCTGGTAGTCGCATCATCCAACTTAAAACGACACCAGAAAGCTGCCACGAACATAAATAGCCAAAAAACCACCGGCGATTTGCCTGAAGGAAAAGGAAATTAGAAACCCTAAGACCTCAAATTGCATCAAATAGATCTTCAACACAAAACAATTCAAATCCAAACATCGGTTCCGAAATAATGATCGGAATATTTATATCTAACAAGAAACATAATCGAGAATTCGCACCTCTGATGGATCGACTGATATCGATAGAAGCAGCACGCATCATTTTACCGAGAAAATCATGGAATGCGGCCGATTGATCTCCGCTCGCCTCATGTGACCTGAAACCCTAACCGAAGCATCCGTATTCCCTCAACATTGGAGTCATCTGAAACTTCATTCCATAATTGCTCTCAGTCTTCCATGGCAGAATTACTCTCTTCCTCGGGAGATTCCAGCGCTCCAAACAACCATGCGAGAAGAATCACCAAAAGATAAACAACGTCACGCACGGAGCAACATTCACCTGAACGCACAAAGAGAGAATCATGAAATTGTAGCACGGAATTGAGTGCACCGTTGAATTGAATGTTAGGTTTTCCACGCCCTCCCACAGGCACATTTATTCTCCTCTACATCTTTGGTTTGGGTTCTCATCTTTGGTTGGGCTCAATGGTCCGGATCCAAATACTTATAATGGGCCTTACTTAAATGGGCCTATATCGGGCCGGTCATTATAAATCCTGGCTGAGCTGAACAAATCAAACTGAATTCTAAAAACGCAAATTTCTCCAAACGAATCTAAATACGAAATACTGCCACTGTTCGTTCATCTGTTGATGGAGAAGCTAAAATCGCTGATTCCTGAGGATCTTCGGGAGACTGTGAGAAGGAGCACCGCCAATGATCTTCACTCGTCATCTTCATCCCTTCTCCGGCTGTTTCTGGGTCTTCCTCAGTTTCATCATGTACGTTTGGACATACGTCTTTTACTCTCCCCTAGCTTCTGTATTGTTTCCGGTTTCGGTTCGAACTCATTTGTTCCTTTTCGGGTTTTCCTCTCTCCGGCTCGATTATCAGGCGGTGAATGATTTGGCGGATTCTGATTCAGGTTGCTGCGGGAAGGACAAAGACGCAGCTCTTGACTTGAAACGCCGTGGAAATCACTGCTTCCGCAGCCGGAAGTTCCACGAGGCGTTGCTGTTCTACTCTAAGGCTTTGCGCCTTGCTCCTCCCGACGCCATTGATGGTCACAGGAATCTGCTTGCTTCTCTCTTCCTCAACAGGGCTAACGTCCTCCATGTCTCTCTCTTTGTCTCTCTCTCTTCCCCCCTGCGTTTCCGAGTTTTTCGTCGTTTGGCTTCTGAGGCATGTTCCATCTTCTGTTCTTCTTTAGAATCTGGATCTTCTTGCTGAAAGCTTACGGGACTGCCATCGCGCTCTTCGGATTGATCCTTTTTACGCGAAGGTGTTTATGTTTTCTAGTTTTGTTCTTATGGTTTCTGTCAATATGGGATTATGGGTTTTTGCCAATTTTGTGTTCCATTCCGCCATAGAAAAAACTTCCACTCTGAGTGTTATGTGTTTCAGGCGTGGTATAGGAGAGGCAAACTTAACACAGTTCTTGGAAATTATGAGGAAGCATTTCGTGACTTCACAGTTTCGTTATCTCTCGAATCATCAGTGGATGGCAAGAAGCAGCTACAAGATGAATGTAAGATCATTTCAGACCAACGGAACAAGCAAGCGTCAGGACACACTGCATATCGTGTAAGCGACTCTGCAAGTTCAGGTAAGATTTTTGTTTGTCCATCATTGTTCTTTGACACTGCAATTAGGACAAATTTTTTCACTTGTGTGACTCGTTTCAAATACGGGTATGTAGATTATCTGCTAAGTGTACCAAGCGAGATAAAGCTGCGTTGTGTGTCGACAGAAGAGAAAGGAAGGGGTATGGTCTCAGAATGTGATATTCAACAATCTACTGTGGTACATGTCGAAGAACCTTATAGCGTGGTATGATCTGTGACATACAATTATGATTGTTGCTCAGGGATTAGTAGGAAGCTTTTCGAATTTTTTACCATTTTAGCATCCATTGAGTTCGATAAAAGAATTTCACATATAAATGTGTAGTGCTTGAAGAGGCACACATTACATTGTTACACAATCATGTGATAATGTGATACCAATCATGTGTAGGTCATTTTGAAAAGTTGTCGCGAAACACATTGCCACTTTTGCCTGAATGAGTTACCTGCCGATTCAGTTCCCTGTTCATCATGCTCGGTAACTGTTTACTGCTCAGAGCTCTGCCAATTTCAATCAGGGGGAATGGTATCCAGAGATGATATGGACGGACATCACGTTTGTCAGAGCCTTCCGGATGATCTTTCAGACCATATTAAGGGCGTTACTTCAGTTAATAATTTATTTTCTGGGACCGAATGCATTCGAGAACATCAACATGAATGTCTGGGAGCCAATTGGCCTGCAGTACTTCCCTCTGATGTTGTTTTGGCTGGACGAATTCTGGTTAAGTTAATAAATCAAGGAAAATTGGCTATGGATCTTTCCAACCTTCAAGAGAATCTGGTATGCCCCTTTACTACATCGTTTTTAAGCATTCACAACAGCTGACAGAGTTGATCAACTTAAAAGCTGAAATACCCGGATGTTTTTTGCAGGATCTTTCACATAGCTACTCTGAGATGGATCCAGAGAGCAAAATCAACTTCCATATATTTTCCACAGTGTTGTTATTTTGTCTTAACAAGTCTTTCTGCTCAGATCTTTCTATCAATGGAATTTCTGTGACTCAGGTTGCCCTCTATATTTCCTTCCCTCGCCACCCAATCTCTCATTGAGGTCATTTTTTTTATGGAAATTGTATCTTTGATCTTTGCATAAGATTTTAGCTTCCACAAATGTCTAGGGAATTTAGAGTTTACAGTCCCAGAGAACAGTTTGCTCTTTAGGGTTCGGTCTACTGATGTAAAAAAAATTGTTTACCACCTACACCATGCGCACATGGTTCTATATAATTTCCTGTTTTCTGCGAATTAATGGGGAAATATAACTGGGTAGGTGATGCATGTAGATCACTTTTCTTCCCCACGTATATTCTTTTTATACTTGATGTTTCAGCTATAAGTTTTTCCTCTGAAATTTCATTGTCATGTGATCCTTACGGTTGATAATTGGCTCTTGGGTCCCTGTGTTTTTTGGTCTGCAGACAATCATACTGTTGTCGCAAATCAAGGTGAACTCCATAGCAGTAGTCTGCATGAGATCTGCTGGTCTTTCTTTTAAATCCAACCCCTCTGAAAATATCCCAGGAAAAGGGCAGATTCAAAGTTTAGAGCAGGTTTGTTTTGGCAGAGGTACTGCATTGTGGAATTTTATTTTGTGCCTACTTCCTGCAAACATTACTCATTAAAGAGGTTCTGAGGCTAGGACATAGCCTGTTGAATGATGAAGATCTTTACATCTACTGTTGTTGCCTTATGCACAGATCAGAGTTGGTCAGGCTCTTTATAAAACCGGCAGTTTGTTTAATCATTCCTGCAAGCCAAACATCCACGCATATTTCCTTTCACGTAGACTTATACTTCGAACAACAGAGTTTGTTCCAACGGGTTGTCCCCTGGAGCTGTCATACGGTCCTGAGGTATGCACACGAATCCTCTTGTCTAAATCTGTTACTTCTGATGTGTATCACAAATGCGGTGTGTTTCAATTCATATGTTCAACTGGTCATGTACGTTTCACCTCCATAGGTTGGAATGTGGGACTGCAAAGATCGCATTAAATTTCTTCAAGATGAGTACTTTTTCCGGTGTCAATGCCGTGGTTGTTCTTGGATTAACATATCTGATATTGTCATCAATGGGTACCGCTGTAAAGATCCCAACTGTACTGGCGTAGTTCTGGATAGTTATGTCCCAGGTTGTGAAGCTAAGGAGCTAAAGCATTTCTCGTCTGCTTCAGATATTCAGGTATTTAATTTCGTTTCCAGTGGAATCGTTAGGGTGCGGCTGCCTTTCCAAAGCCTTGCATTTTCATTCAGAAACTTTTCCCCAGGCTAATCTTGAAGATGTGCTTTAGTGAACTCCCCCACCTTATGCAGTTCTTATTCGACAAGATCCATTTTCTGTTGGACCCTTTTGGAATTGAGTAGCTGTGAAAATGTTTTTTGTGTCTCATGTGCATCTTAGCATTAAGAAGAGTTATTATCTATCATAAGCCCGGAGCAAAAAGGCCTTTGCAGCATTTCTGAGCATCCATATGACCAATTTAATTTAGCTTTTGTTTCCGTTAACTTGTTGCTTCTTAAGGCGAGTGAGATGACAAACACTGATTTTGGTGAAGTGGCTTCCCTTTTGGTCTCTAAAACTAGAAGTTCCCTTCAGATAGAACCCGGGATTTGTCTGAAATGTGGTTTCCGCTGTGACCTAGAAACCTCTCGCATGGAAGTGAAAAGAGCTTGGAGTTACATGAGAAGGTGACTTGCTTTTTCCTGAAAGCTTCATATTTCCAAGTGTTTAATAAACATCAAGCATCTCTATTTAATATCTGGATTTTCTCACAGGCTTGAAGAGTTAACAGATGCAGAAGGAGCCAATGTTTCTGCACTCTCAGATTACTTGAGGTCTCTCAAAGTGCTTAGATCTTTCTTGCATATGTATAACAAAGGCATTGCTGAAGTGAGTTGAGTTCGTATTCAAATTCTAAAGCATCTTTTTTTAGCTCAGTTACTCTAAGCATGATGATGATATGCCACGTCCCATAAAAAAATTCACCGAAAAATCAGACCCGAATTACGTTTTGAAACTTGTTTTTCAGGCAGAGGACAAGGTTGCACAGGCGTGCTATTTGGCTGGAGATCTGGAAGGTGCAAGGAAGCACTGTGAAGCTTCCATTAAGGTAAACCCTTATAAAGTAATGCTATTTCTGTGGTCATACCCCAAGGTAATGCAAAGATTTACAGCACTAAGAAAAATGGTGGACAGGCAGGATCTAGCCAAAAAAACAAAACAAGATTTGTCTATTTTAGTATAAATCCGTAGAATCTGCAGATGAATATAGATGATGGTTATGATCGAGACCCACGAAAAAAGGTGGGGAATTGAGCTAACCCACCATAGCCATTTCCTTCACAGAAGTGGTTGAGGATGTAATGGATGCGATCTGGGTTTTTTTCTTTTCAATATGATGTGCAGATACTGGAGAGGCTGTACGAGGAGGATGATCACATCGTGATCGGGAACGAACTGGTGAAGCTGTCGTCGATTCAGGTTGCATTGGGTGATTCGAGTGGAGCAAGTGAGAGCAGAGAGAGGGTGTGTCGGATATTTGGAAAGTATTATGGGTCACATTCTCATATTCTCTTCTCTTATCTGAAGCAGGAAGCTCCCAAAGCTGTGGTCTAAAAAATCTTGTCATCCTGTTGGTTTTGTTGTTGCTGCGCCGTTAAACCTTTCTCTTGTGTCTTTCTTGTTCAAATTCCGAATGGATTATGGAACGGGAAACAGTGAAATCAGCTCTTTTTTTACTTTTAACAAATGTTATTATACATTTTTTATTTTCTGTATTTTATTCCTCATTTTTTTAAATCCATTAATTTGGTGGGAAGAATCATATATATGTATAAATATATATATAGTATTGGTTTATTTGGAAAGGAGATTTTATCCTCTTTTTTACGGTCAGGGGATGGAATGGGGACACGTCGTGAGAGACGGCCCATGTTCGCCTTCGATCGCTTGAGAAACCCAAACCCAAAAACCGTCAGGACTGCCGAACACTCTAATCTCTCCAGTCGTCTCCTCCGCAACGGTCGCCATTTTTCCCGGTGATGTTTACTGGCGGTAATGTCACCGCTAGGGTTTTCGAGCGTCAGATTCGGTCTCCTCCTCCCGGTGCCTCTGTAAGCGATTCCCTTTCTCTCTCTCCCCGATTCTCTCTCTCACCTCTCGCTTCCTGTAATGGCAGGTGAATTGCGCGAGACGCTTCTACGAAAACTTAGTCCCGAGCTTCACCCTATACGACGTTGAAAGCCCCGACCACTCCTTTCGCAAGTTCACCGACGACGGTCTCTTCCTCATCAGCTTCAGCCGCAACCACCAGGAACTCGTCGTCTACCGCCCTTCTTGGCTCTCCTACTCCTGCTCTAATGGCGACCACTCCTCCTCCTCCTCCTCCGACAACCTCCCCCGCCGTGCCTCCAGGTTCGACAGCTTCTTCACCCAGCTCTACTCAGTCTCCCTCGCCTCCGCCAACGAGCTCATTTGCAAAGACTTCTTTCTCTACCTTCAGTCACATCACTTCGGCCTCTTCGCTACCTCCACTGCTCAGATCCACGACTCCGCTCCTTCCCCAGGTGCTGTTACCGGCGTTCCCTCCATCGACAAGATCACTTTCACCCTTCTCCGTTTGGACGATGGCGTGATCCTCGACGAGAGGGTTTTCCTGCATGACTTCGTCAACTTAGCTCATAACATGGGCGTCTTTCTCTACGATGATCTTCTAACGATTCTGTCCCTGCGGTTCCAGAGAATTCACGTGTTGCAAATTAGGGATTCTGGTAATCTCGTCGATGTTCGTGCTATTGGGTATTTCTGCCGTGAGGACGATGAGCTCTTCATTGATTCAAATTCTCAGGCAAGCCCTAACTCCTTATCTTGGCATTTGCCAGTTTCCGACAGAAGTTTGTCGCTGCTTTGGCTGACCTAAGTTTGCATTAGATAGATAGAGCTTCTTAGTTGTGCCCTTTTGCTTACCACACAAAGTTGGTCTTATAAGAGATTTGGTGCGAAAGTAGATGAGCTAGATCACACAGAAAGGGACATACACTAGGGTTGGCTTGAGGGTCGTCACCGTTATCTTCAAGACGGTATTCGTGCATGATCCAATCGGTTTTCTGGCCATGAGGAGCTCTTCCCTTGTAGAATACAAGAGTCTTCCTCATTCCTATCTTTTTGTAGCAGTTCCTTATGCACTTGTCTCGTCCTGTCGCTTTCCAGAACCCGGAGCTTGTGGCACGGTTTGTCCTTGATCCCGTCGGATATTTCCTGTCCTTGTGGCTGAAGAAATACCACTCGTTCTGTGGTGTTGATCCTATCCTGCATCTTTCTACAATTGAATACCCATCACCATTATGTCACTGATTACATATTATATATACATACGTATGCATATGTCACCAGGATTTCTATGTATCTATGAGAATTCTGTTTGCATGCAAGCACAAGCTCGTGTACGACGTGCATTTGCAGCATTGTAGGGAATGACGACTCGGGATAAGAACAAACTACAAACCATACCTGGAAACAGTGGAGACCATTCTGAGAATGGCTTGCACGAAACCCAGCCAAATGCTGAGAATTCGTCGTTTCTCAGTGGCATTAAGCAACGGCTACTCTCATTCATTTTCAGAGAGATTTGGAACGAGCAATCCGATAAGACGCTGGTTTGTTGCTCTTGAACTGCTCTTTATATTTGGTGTTAATCTACTAATTAACCCTTAGGTTATTAGGTAATTACTGTAGCTGCTTGATTTTATACGAGTGAAGCCATGGTAGTGGTAGCTTTCGGTATATCTCAGTCGATGCAGTCGGCAGGAACCTTAGAATTGCAGAAGTTAAGCGTTCATGTTTTTTCTGCCTGGAGACTTAGTAGTAGCAGTAGTAAAGACTAGCATTACTTTCTCATTCAATTTTAGCTGATTTAGGGGATCTTATGACAATTGAGAACCGATGGCCTAGCCCTCTACATATTACTCCAGTTATTGGCATTTTCGACCCTCTTTATGGTTTGTAGTGCAAGTTTTAAAGCATGTAGTTTGTGCGACTTTCTTGTCGTATGAACGTTAAATTATTAGCAGACAGCCGTGCCCTTCAATTGTATTGATTTGGAAGTTTTCATTGGTTTGCCAGAGGGTTCAATGCCTGAAGAAGAAGTTCTATTTCCATTTCCAGGACTATGTCAATTTGATTATTTGGAAGGTAACCATGTGATCATGGTAACAGTTGGCTGGATACTTTTTACTATGTTGGTCATTATATTCAATTACAGAATTCTGTTTTCACCTTCTTTCTAGGTGCAATTCTTGGATCGTCATCACTTGCTAATCAAATTTGGCAGCGTAGATGGAGGGGTAAGCCCTCATGTCCTCGGAGCCTTGTAACACTCAATCTAGATCTGCCTTATTTGGATCTTACATTCCAATCTCTCAGAAGAACAATGTTGGATGATTCAGGTAGCAAGAAATGCTGATCATCATCCGGCATTTTTCGCCGTGTATAATATGGAGACAACCAACATTGTTGCATTCTATCAGGTAAATATGTATATGGCTGTTAGGCTTCAGAGAGGTGATTCTATGAGATGCATGTGTTCATAACTCGGCACCATACGCTCACTTATGCAGAACTCAGCGGAGGAACTTTACCAATTGTTTGAGCAGTTCAGTGATCACTTCATGGTATCAAGTAGTTTGCCATATATGAACTTCATAACATCACACTCAAACAACGTACATGCTCTTGAACAGCTCAAGTACTTGAAGAACAAAACAAGCAGTTTTTCACAGGTACCAATTATCACTTCTTCTTCATCTTTGTGTTTTGAGTGTCTAAGACAATGTTTCCGAAAATAGAGTTTTAACCCCCCACTTAAATCTTTACACAGTTTGTGAAGAAGATGTTGGTGTCATTGCCTTTCAGTTGCCAGTCACAGAGTCCTTCCCCGTACTTTGACCAATCTCTCTTCCGGTTTGATGAAAAGGTAACACAATCCTCGGTGTCTTTTGTCTGAGCATCGAGCTTCGTTAAGGGTAATTAACCGACTTTTGGATATGAAAACAGTTAATCTCAGCAGCAGACAGGCACAGGCAGTCAACAGACCACCCGATCAAGTTCATATCGAGAAGACAACCACAAACACTGAAGTTCAAGATAAAACCAGGTTTGTGGATTCAAGGGTTTGATCTGTAGAAACATTGTGAAAAGAGATGAAATCATAATTAATATTATCGAATGTCTGTAGATTCACATCTTATGTAATATTTATAGTTATAAAAATAACTGTGTGAACAATAAACAGGGCCGGAGTGCGGAAGCACAGATGGTAGGAACAAGAAGATATGCTCTTTCCTGTTCCACCCGCATCTGCCACTGGCCATTTCAGTTCAGCAGACACTCTTCATGCCCCCTTCCGTAGTCAACATCCACTTTCGGCGTTGACTCTCGCAGCGATTGTATGATTTCTGTACACGTTATGTAACTTGTAGAGAGGGTAACAAAAGAAAAAACAAACATTTGTAATAATAGGATGATTTAGTTTCATCACACGAGAGAGTGTAAAGAGAGGTTCCATTGGTCAATACTCTGATTTGCCCTGGAACTTGTATGGAGTTGAGTTAGTTTCATATCATTTTGCAGTGGGAGATCATTTGGAATTATTATTTATTCACAAAAAGACATCGTTCTTCAAACAGATTAGGGCCTGCTTATGGCCCGAAAAGCCCACTTCACAAACAAGAAAAGATGCTAAAAATAGTATATCTGGCTCTCCATAGTATGCTTCTTCCACCGATCGCCTAATTCGACTGAGATTCCCAAAGTCACGGCCACGATTTGGAATCCGTAGATTTCTATGATTCGAAAACCCTAGGATTTTATCGCTCTCCTTCTTCGATCTCATCGTTTCGCGACTCGACGCACTTTCCTCACTAAGAAAAATCCTCAAGTAATCTGTCGGATTTTGTTGAGCCGGTGCATCAATTCGGACCCCAGCAGCTCAAGTACATGACCGTCCTGAGCGACTCCTCAGCCTGCTTGGCCTTGGCGTCTCTGATCTTGCTCGAGACGGCTACGGCGGAGGAGGACGACGACGACGAAGGAGAGAGCCTCTTGGCCTGAGAAACGGACCGTGCCTTGTTCCGGAGATGCTGCTGCGCCGTTCGGAGAGCGTAGTTCCACCGGCAAACGCCTAATTGATCCTTCAACACCTCCACGGCTCCGATGCTCACCGCAACAACCCACGCTTTGCTCGCTGAACTCATCTCTAATCCTTCTTCTTCTTCTTCTTCTGAGGAAACCTCTGCTTTTTTTTTCTTTCCGAGTTGAGAGAATTGTTTGTTGATGAGTAGTGTCCCGGAGGATTTTTGTTATATAGAGAGGCCAAAAGGACAAAATGGTAATTTCTTTGGAAAGGGAAGGCGACGAGATGGCCGCTAAAAGCTGAAAGGAGTGGAAAACCAGACGCTGGGGCTGGTGGTTTCTCGGTTTCTGGGTGTCGATGGGTTTTGTTAAATTACCGTTTTGTCCGCTTTATGACGAACATTATTAGGGGTATTATTGGTATTTCTTATTTACTGCCGGCAAAGGCCCCCGGTTTTCTGGTTATATGAAAATGACCTGACATATGCAAAACGAAACATGAAAAATGACAAAAGTTTCACGTTTATCTATATTATTATTATTATTATTATTATTATTATATCTGACAGACCATTGACGAAAAATTTATATATTATTGAATTTCATATGGAATATTTTAATGGGCTGAAGAATGCTAGAAGAATATTGGATTTGATGTATGATCTTAATGGATGAAATTATAAAAACCAACTGAAAAAAACTAAGATATTTGGTAATTAGAATATTTCATGACAACTATTCCCTGGACTAATTTAAACCCAAAAAAAGTAGCTTTTTTTTGCAATTTCTCAAAAAAAAAAAAAGAGGTTTATAATAGTCGCTAAGCTTTAGATAGGGCCTCGGTATCGGGATTATTGGGCTGAAACGTAGACTTGTTGGGCCTTTTTACTAAAAGCCCACTAAATTGTCAGTCAGAGTGGGAGTCTTGTTGGTCAAAATGCAGCTATGGTTACGATCCTTTCGGCCTCAGCAAGAAGCCGAGAACTTTTTTTTATATATATATAACGTGGTAATCACTGACTGCTATCTTTTAGACGTGCTGATTAGTTAAATTCTTCCTACCGTACGAATTCGCGATACACGATGGGATATAAATCGGCCGTAACCGACGGACGGTAGATGTGTTAACAAGGAGTCGAACTCACAGCCTTAACCTTAAGGTGTGGGACAAATTACCTTACCAATTCGTCTGGGTGTTTACCCAAAGAGGCCGAGAACTTTGCTAAGTATGTAGATTCTTTTAATTGTAACTCTCTCTCTGTGGCCCTGAAGTCGTCTTGTGATGTTTGATGATTCTTTAATCCATGAAAACAATGAATCAGACCGGTGCTTTGCTTCTCGACGGCTACGTATACTTCGGCAAGAACCCATTAATCTTATCTTCTCTGTCATTGCCGAAGGTTGTCCTTCTCGGCGGCAACGGATTGGTGCATGTGAGAGAATTGTTTGTCAATTCTTGAGTTCCTCATTGAAAAAACCGATCTTGAAATTTGCATTTGCATTGCATGCAACAGCAGAAATACAAATGAATCGATCTCCTTTCCTTTGTTATTGAATCCAACAGTGACATTGTTTTGTGAAAGCAATTCGCTTCTAAACCACAGAGAATGAAATAAATGGAACATGTAATTAACCAAGTACAAGCACCTATTTAGCGAATCCCCAGAAATCCATCTCCCCTCCCAACGAGAGCTGATTCCCATCCGGTTGAACGGACGAAGAGTTGTTCGTCATGCCTCTCGAGGAATCTTCATTTCCCATATGATAAGTCACAAGCCTGTCAAGCATTGCCCATTCACCCGTGCCGACCTCTAAGCCCGTCGGTTCACACCCTTGCCCGTACTGCAGCCCCTCGCTGGCTGCGCTCTCGTGGCTGCAGTCTCGTGGAAGGCCCGAGGAATAGTCGTACACGATGGAAGGCGGCGGCTTGTGTGATGAAGGGATTATAGCTTGGGACTGGAACATGGTGGATATTGGAGGGTAGTGAAGAGCAAGTTCAGGCTTGTTGAGTTCAAAGGTTGTCTGGTGTAGGTGATACTGACTGTCTCTGTGCATAAATCCACGAGCCTGAAGCCCATTATTGTCTTGTTCTGATGAGTTAATGCTTGAACCTTCCTCGTTCCTTACCTTGAACAAGTTCTTCTTCTTGAACGCTCTACAAACCACCCATCCATCTTCCTGGCGATCAAAACTCATTACAGTTCATTAATCTTGATTAGAGATTTTACCACACAAAGTTGGTCTTATAAGAGATTTGGTGCGAAAGTAGATGAGCTAGATCACACAGAAAGGGACATACACTAGGGTTGGCTTGAGGGTCGTCACCGTTATCTTCAAGACGGTATTCGTGCATGATCCAATCGGTTTTCTGGCCATGAGGAGCTCTTCCCTTGTAGAATACAAGAGTCTTCCTCATTCCTATCTTTTTGTAGCAGTTCCTTATGCACTTGTCTCGTCCTGTCGCTTTCCAGAACCCGGAGCTTGTGGCACGGTTTGTCCTTGATCCCGTCGGATATTTCCTGTCCTTGTGGCTGAAGAAATACCACTCGTTCTGTGGTGTTGATCCTATCCTGCATCTTTCTACAATTGAATACCCATCACCATTATGTCACTGATTACATATTATATATACATACGTATGCATATGTCACCAGGATTTCTATGTATCTATGAGAATTCTGTTTGCATGCAAGCACAAGCTCGTGTACGACGTGCATTTGCAGCATGTAAGCGTCGACATTGTTTCTTCCTCTTTCTTGGATTCTTCTTACTTATGTTACTTCATTACACAGAGATGAATAAGAACAAGGGGTTACGTGTTTTGTCGTCACCTTGTAACTCCCAAGGCTCGATCTTGTTCAAGTCAACCTCTCTGATAACTTCCATCTCGAACTTCTGATACGAAAGCTTCTTCTTCAAGTAGTAATGAAGAAGCTCCTCTTCTGTCGGGTGAAATCTAAACCCCGGAGGCACTCCTCCATTATTCGACCAGCCCATCCCTTGAAATTGTAATTATGATCATTTGTGTCTAAAGATACATATATATATGTATGGAGCTGTGTAAATGTCAACTAAGGGAGGGTGAAGTTGACGGCCGGTGACCACGCCGCGGGAGATGGTTAAAGCTGCCGTGTAAAGCAAGAAACTCCGGCCACGCGCTTGCCTGCTGCGTGTGATATACACATACACTGTTGCTTGAATCTGACTGCTCTTTGTGTCTCCACGCATTCTCTTTTGCATGTTGACCCAAAACTATTTTATTTAAGCTATAAACGATCCCGAGGAAATCATGATACGGGCTAATATTAATTATTGTTATTATTTTGATAAATCCGTGTGTTTAATTCGATTGCTTGATCCGTAAGCAAGGGTTTTGGGAAAAAAAAAACTCGTTATAATAAACACCCTTCTCGGGATTTACATCTCCTCTCTCCGATCATGCGGTGCCAAAAAAAATTTTCTGATTAACTCACTTGTTTAATTTTCAAGCATGATGTATATATAAATATATATATATATATATATATATATATATATATATATAAAATATGTGTGTGTGTGTGTAGAGACAAGCACGTTGATATTATCATGACATACGAGGCACTAGATGAATGTTGGGCTCGAGTTCATATTAATTAGGGACCATTCGTAAGTCAAATCCCATGCATGCATCGTTCACGTGGCTAGTTTGCGGTTTACGTACGGTACGATGACTATATATATATATATATATATAACAACTCAAAATAGGACAAAACCCTTAGCCATTTCGGAACCGAACATATATACATATATATATATATATGTGGTGATAAAAACATACGTTTCTTTATTGTCAATATTTCTACCAAAGTCTATGTATTTCGACTGCGTCCATAGGAGCCATCATATACATCCACCCTAGATCTGAGATTAGTCTTTGTATATAGACCATTTTTTTAATCCAGAAATTACATACATCCCCAACAGTGAAATCGAACCCAAATTTTAAGATGATTTTGTCACCTTCTAACCACTGAACCGCCAAGTGTTGGGTCAAAGACAATCCGTTTGATTTGAAATGACATTCATAAGATACCTTCCACACTATTAGAAAGCTCATTTTCTCTTTAGGTTCATAGATTAATTCGAAAATTGTATTTCCATTTTTTTTTTCGCATGGTGGTGTGTGTATATATATATATATATATATCTTTATGTTCCTTTATTTTTGGATTCCTTTTTTAAAAAAAAATTATATGTATTGGGTTTTTACATGAGATTTTGTTAAATATTGTCATAGATACTATTTGATCGGTTCGTTCTATATTAGAAATGTTTTTTTTAAAGAGATTTAAGATTATTTATAGTAAAATAGCTGTGATTTTTATTTCCAGTTATTGATTAATTAGGTTTAAAAACAATCTCTGCAAACCAGTTTTAGTTTAAGTTTAAATTCAGTGCTATTTTTGGTTCAAATTGAAAATTATTATTAGTTTCGACTTTCGAGTTTGTATGTATCCCAACCCAAACCTCCCGTTTAATGCTCAAATAAATAGTCCAAGTGGGTAAAGTGATACAAAGAAGCCCATGAAAAGCCCATTAAATTTCCAAAGATACAACCCTTTCTTCTAAAAGCCTCAAAAGGCCCATTACATTGAACACGCGAATCAAGGTTCGATAATGTATGGATATAGATGAAGACTTTGTATGGATAACCTAAGAATTTCATGAGAGTTTGGAAGATGGTACATCCTAAATCATATGGATTAGAAAAACATTAGACACCATTTACAGTAACAATTTAGAGATGATGAATCATGGGCTACAACTCGGACATTTTACTCAAATGACCCAGTTGAGTCGCACCAATTTCAGTAATATACTACCGAAAAAATAACCTATTAATTTTTTTTGAAAAGACGGTATTACCCTTAATGAATCCGCGTAATTTGTTCGTTCGAAAACAACTTTGTTCACTTTTATGTCCATATAATCATAACTACTTCTTATTTTAGTTATACATACTTCTTGTTTTAGTTGTATGTTAATAATATGGTAGTCGTAATAAAATCGCAAAAAAATGAAAAAAAAAAAGATATTTCAGACTTTTTCAATCGAAAAGTGATCTAAAAGTTGAAATTTTTTTTTTGTTTTTTTCGGTGGTGTACCAACGAAATTCGTGCGACCCAAGTGGATCATTTGAATCCATTTGAGTAAAATGCGCCTGCAACTCTTAACAATTTAGAAATAAACAAATCAGTTTCCACAGGTGAAGGATCAACAAACACAATTGGTGGCTAAATGCCAAAGGCTTGGAAGAACATCCAAAATGCCATCAATGCAGAGACCTCCGGTCTAAAATGGTATGGAAATTTTTTATACGTTCATCCATGGTGATGAAGCATGGTTCAATTGGCTGTCATCGATCTCAGGATTAGTTTACTTGACTGCTGTCGAATATGATAAGAAACCCTAATTAAAGCTCAAGAAGAAAAACAGTTCATGAGAAGTTCATACTTCCTTCCTCTCTTACCTTCTCGAATCTTGATGGTCAAGAGATGGAGAATCAATGTTGGCATAAGTACGCATATGACTGTTCTTGAGTTCTGCATTATCCACGCAATAAATTAGATAAGCTAAGAAGCAGAGTTCCTTGAGGGCATTTGTTTCAGAATGGTCGAGCTCCGAAAGCTTGAAAATCTGTGAAATGTATCTTCAAAGGTTGGAACTTTGTTTCACCCCTGTTCTTAAATCGACTGTTTCTGAGGAGGGTCGCTCTGGAAAATTGAAAAATCCGATTGGGATACCGCCAATTGTTCTGATTGACCACAGATGAGCAGAGAGAGAGAGAGAGAGAGAGAGACTGTGGAGGAAGATTTTGCCTAACCAGGCAAAGCAATGCCATTTGTATGTTCCTTTCCTTCTTTCCTTTCCTTTCACAAACTCTACACGAAACCAGCCTTAGCAGTGTTTGGTGGACTTTGTTCTTCTCTCAGGGTGCCATGATCGTGAAAAATATCAAAAGGGTTCTCTCTGCTCGATCCTCTCTCCTCCTTCCACGTTCAAGGTGGCGAAATTTCTGGGACTTTCTCCGACAAAACCCCCGTGCCTTCATCTGAATCTCGGAGACAGACCCAGCTCCATGGCCTTCTCTCTCTCCGTCCCTCTCTTCCCCAGACCCCTCCTCTCGTTCCAAAGGTCGAATCTACGTTCTAAAACCCATGCGCTCAGGCTGTTTTGCTGTTCAGGGTCCCCCCAAAATCGTCAGTTTTCTTCGGATTCCGAGGAGAAACCCTTCGCCGTGGACACGGACGAGCTTTTCCTAGGAATCGAGTCGAGGCTTATAAGAACATCCGAGAAGCCATCTTCTGCGCCGCCGATTGACGAGACGAGCGACAATGGCGAGAAAATTGTGACAGTCATGGAGGATAAGGTCGAACCTGAGGTGATATGGGGACAAAGGGCTAAGGATGTAGAGGCCGAGAAGGAGAGGAAGATCGTCACTAGCCCCGGATTCAGCTTCTCCGTAGGTGGACTTTTGTTCCCATATCATCTTGGAGTTGCCCAGTTTCTCATCGAAAAGGGTTACATCAAGGTACTCCATCTCTTCGTTTTCGTCATCTTCCATGTTCATTGCACTGTCCTTCTGCTGAGAACTGTGTGTTTATACCCATGAAAAGCTCTGGCTTGATGGTGAAGACAGTTGTGTTTTTTATGCAGGAGACTACTCCTTTGGCGGGTTCCTCAGCTGGGGCCATAATCTGTGCGGTGATAGCCTGTGGGTTAAGTATGCAAAAGGCATTAGAAGCCACGAAGACCATTGCTGATGATTGTAGACGCAAGGGTACTGCCTTTCGTCTTGGGGTAATGTCAGAAATACTTCTTATTCTCAGTTTTAATGATCTCTATGAAACTAAAGAACCGTTGGAGCTGTAAGTTGTCCGGTGTTGTTTCTCTTCATCTGGTGAAGTTAGATGATTAGATGATCCAAAGTTCAGTCATTTTCTTCTGGGTTTCCCTCTCTAGGACACTTGTTGTGGTCCAAATGGTGTGGCTCGAGCTATTAACACTCAGGATAGGAGATTCCAGATTATAGAATTATGCCGCCACCACTGCTGATATTGATGCCCATTACTTCCTTTTTTGAATGACATTTTCCAAGTGATTCATCCAAGTCTCACGGTTTTAGGCCCTCCTCAGAGATTGTCTCGAAGAGTTACTGCCAGATGATGCTCATACCAGTTGCAACGGGAGAATTCGTGGTGAGAATGGTGTCTTCTTTCCTCTTTACCGATCCTTCCGTCACCATTTCTTTACGATGACTGTCTTCAGGTTCTAGTTTTCTAATCTTGCTATTGGTAACCAGTTGCCGTAACCCAGATTACGTGGAGGCCAAGAGGATTGCTGGTGGATCAATTTGACTCCAAGGGAGACTTGATAAATGCCCTTTTTACATCTTCCTTTATTCCAGGGTAGAGAGCTTACTATGATTTTGCTGTGAAAGGTTCGATCTTGGAGGAGGAAACTTAGCTTACAGAATGGGGAAATGCAGGTATTTTTCAGCAAGCCCTGCAACCGTGTTTCGTAACCGGCTTTGTATAGATGGCGGGTTGACATTTTTTATGCCTCCAACCTCTGCTTCGAAAACTGTATGTATATGAATATGCTTTGTTCATTTTCCCGATTATTACTCGTAAAGCAGAATGCTTTTATCGAGAGCTGCACTTCTATGCATGCCTTCTGTGTACATTCCTTTTGAATGTTCGCTTCAGTTCTTCTGACCCCTTTCTACGACGCTTTCAGATACGAGTAAGTGCATTCCCTGCCAGTACATTCGGAGTGAAGGGGATTGCGATAAGTCCAGACTGCAACCCTGAGAACAGGGCAACCCCTAGACAAGTAAGTCGTGTTCTGTTGTGTGTATTGTCTTTTTCCCCCCAGTGAATAAGTTTGTTCATCACCATTTGGAAGTCTCTTCCTTCTGTGTATAGCTTATCAACTGGGCGTTCGAGCCTGCAGAAGACGAGGCGTTGGATAGGCTGTTCGAGCTCGGATATGCAGATGCAGCTTCGTGGGCCGAGAAGAATCCCGTCGAGGAAGTGGTTCACGGCGAAAATTCTTCCCAAGAAAACGTTTCTGATAATCCGGAAACAAGTACTTGATACTTCTTTAACCAAAGGCAAAGATTAATTTGCTTAACAAGGTATGATAGTATCCTGTAATTAGGTTATAATCTTGTAAAGTATAATTTAATGTTTCAGTACGTGTAAATTCATGAACTTGTTCATCAATGGCTCTTGTAAAGTATAACCCAATGTACATATGCAATACAAATACCTCATCTCTGTTACATGAATCCATCTCTTATATATCATTTACCTCCTTACCACAACTGAGGTAAGAGAGAGATGAAATGTTTCGGACAAGGCTTTTCACCACTTGTGAAGCCGAAGGTCTGAGAGAAGGCGGACTACGAAGGCATAACGCAGCCACTACGAGCATTGCCTTAACCTCGTCCATGTCAAGACCCTCTCTCGACAACCTCGGATCCAAGAACTCGCGCACCTTGTCTTCTGCCTTATCTGAACCAGAATCAAGAACCTCACGGATCAATGGTGAGGCCATATGCACCAACATAACGCCATTCTCCGCGGAAAACGCCTCTTTTCCCGACACCAGCTCGAGAACAACGACCCCGAACCCGTACATGTCCATTTTCTTGGAAGCGATCCCTGTTCTCAAGTAATGAGGGTCTGTATAACCTGGAGAACCAACCACAGTCACATGTTTAGATCTCGGCGACATGGCGGGAGGCTGTACCATCGAGGAAAACCCGATCTTTGCTGACCCGAAATCACAGATCTTGCAGTTGAAGCATCTGTCTAGTAGAACGTTCGAGGATTTAACGTCGCCATGCACGATCTGCGGGCTGCACTTGTCGTGCATGTGCTCTATGGCTTGGGCGAGTTGAAAGGCAATGGCGGTTCGGTTCCTCCATGGCAAGACTTGCTTACTGTTGCAGTGGAGATTTTCTTGGAGGGTTCCATGGGGAAGGTATTCGAGCAGAAGAGCGCAGTTTTCTTCTGGAAGAACGAGCAGAAAGAACGATAAAACAGAACGGGTTAACTCGGAGATCGTCTTCTAACATCAACATTCGAATCTACATTATCCATTGTCCATGCGAAAAGGGAATTCGACAACAAGATTCAGAGTTTTGACATACCCGAATCGTCAAAGTAGCCAAGGAGTTTGACAATGTTGGGATGACGAAGACGGAGCAAGACATCGAGCTCAGCTCTGAAAACTTGGTAGAGCCGATGGCTCCCGACATGGACCTTGAGAGCCGCGGGTTTGTCCGAGCCAGGCAAACGAGCCATGTAAACGCTGCTGTAACCACCTGAGCCAACCACTCGAGCAAAATTCGACGTAACAGACTCCACCTCATCCCAGTTATAACTCCTCACACTCACAGCCGAACCAACACATCCCTGGTCCGCGAACTTGGTCGCCGTCTTGACCGAGCCATCAAAGCGGACGCAGCCCAAGAAACAAGCCATGGAAACAGAAAATCAGAGGAGAAGGGTCAATGGATTCAATCAGAGGATACGAAATGGTTTGGTTCTGGGCATGCAAATGCAGACAACGAGATCTTTGGGTTGGGCTTTAATGGAGATTTTCTAGATTGTAATAAAGAAGAAGGCATTGGAATGGGTGGGGCAGAGTTTGACCGTTTTCTGATTTTGATGAAGCCTCCCTCGAAGCTGCTTCACTGATGACGTCTTAACTACCTTCAAGCTCTCTGTTTTCACAAGGTTCAAGCTTTTATATATATATATATATATATATATATATTAAATGTCATCATAATATCTAAATAAATGTTTTTCGTTTCTTATTCATTCAACATCAACATTAATATAGTCTTAATCCCAACTTTAACAGAGACTCCATTAAAAAAAAATTAATAAAGATTCTTTTTAGGCGTTATCATAGTTTGACCAATATTATCTTATAAATATAAATATTCATAAAAAGACTGTTAAAAAAATTACATCAATAACATCAACATCCTCTTAACTTTAAATTTATTTGAAATCGACAATATAATTTTTTTTTTATTCATTTGGATTTTGAGTTTTTGAGTTAAATCTTTCCAACTAAAAAAAAATCATGTATCAAAACTATCGCATTTGTGTTTCTGTGACGTGGTTGGTTGATCACTAAATCAAAATCCACACCCGGAAAACAATCACATCAACAAAAATTATCACCTAAAAATCTAAAAAACATATATATACACACTTATATATATACGTTTATATACATACACACGAAAAAATATAGCTATATATACACACATATACACGCTCGCAAACACTTTTATGCATTTTCTTGTAGTGATGCGCACATATATATATAAACACACACACATTTATACAAATATTCATATGTGTATAAGTATGCATATGTATATATAGATGTGTATATGTGTGTGTATATATACATAAATATGTATATATATAAAAGATTGTATATGCGTATATATGTTTTTTTTTTTGTTGAAGAGGTGATGTGCTTATGCGGTGATAATATATTATTGATTTTGCTTTATCGATTAGCCACGTTAGATTATATTGTCGGATTCTACAAATCCATTAATATCATTAGTAATCGTAGAAAATCCTAGAGTTTAAGATCTAGTTGGTTATTTATGTCAGATTTTTTTTTTGGATTTATGTAATTTTTTAATATTTTATTAGCCTGTAACATTATAGTGGATAAGACAAGGCACCTAATGATTCGAACCCAAAATCATATACACACGGTTCATGCATATTCTCTAGGGGACGAAAAAAAAATAATACTACAATTTTTTTAATGTATCTGTGATCCAAATCTCTCAACGCCTTGTGCACGAACGGTGGGGGCAATCGTTGTCCCGAATTTCGATGGATACTTGGGATTTTATTTTAATTTTTGCAAACTCTTGTTAGATTTAAAATTCAATTTATATTTCGTTTATTTGGTTTAAAAAAACATATGCAATGTATTTGGTTGTACATTTATTAGGTTTATTCTAATTAAGTTTAATTATATATTGGAAACAGTCATTAAGAAAGTCAAAACTCGTTTTTCTAAATTAAAAATTACGACATTAAAATTTAGATCACTAGCCTTTCTCGTGTGTTTTTCCCCTAAAACGTGTAATATTCGCATTTGTCCCAATACACATCAATCGCATCTTTCAAATTTAAATTATATAAAAAAAAAAGATGCGATGAAATGACCCATTAAAAGTATTTATTTTATAAAAAAGGGGACGAACCGTTCCTCATCATCGTCCCGTGGGGCCGTCCACCGACACATGTATTCTGCAATTTTATATGGTCGAAAAACATAACTTGTTAATTTGAATTATTATTATTTATTTTTTGTCAAAGGTTTGGTGGTCTAAAATTACCCCAACCAGCTCCATAATTATCCTAACCATCGGTATAGCAATTCCCATTCAAGATCCGGTTTAGTGGTCGGTCTGAAAAAAACTCCAATATGGCGAAGAATCTTGTCACAGATTTGAATGGATAGATGAATACGTAAGTTGCGTTCCGTCCAAATAGCGTAGACGATGGATTGACGAGCGAGGAGAGCAATATGTTTAGATACTCTATTATTTTAATTGGTGTTAATTTGAATTATTTTAAATTACCTTTTTTTTTTGTATCTATTCAGTTATACTTTAATTAAATATGTATACGGAATTTATATTGTATACAGTTTCATTGCATCTTGTGGATGTATAATATAATGAAAGATAAATAGAATAAAACAAAATATATAAAAAAATGTCAATTGACATGGTGTAAGAAACGTAGATTGGGCTCACCATTACGAAGTTGGGTCTAAATCCAGTCATTAAATTAATGGGCTCATTTGGGCTTAGTTATAATGGGCCGTTTGATAGGCCTTGGGCCCATTTCAAATTTGGGCGAACATTTAAAAATTAAAAGCGACAACAAATAGTTCGCCATCAGTTTTTTTTTTTTTTTTCGAAATCAAATCATAGAAGACGATGACCCAGGCCGTGGTGGTGCTCACGACTACTTCCATGGCGGCGGTGTCGACATACTTTGACCTAGTTTGATGGAATCACCCGGATATTTGGTTTTCCACCGTTCTGTGTCGCGCCGGCGGCGGAAATGTGCGGTTGGGGCGATGTGTTTCATCCTCACCGTCATGATCTCTTCCTCCTCCTCTCATCAGCCTCGCCTCCTCCGTCGCTGCCGTCTCGGTCGCTTCGCTGCTGCCTTCTTCGCCACTGCCGCTCTTCTCTTGGCCTCTTCCGCATGGTTATCCTTCATCTTCTCCCCCTCCACCTCCCGTTGCTGGCGTCGCTTTAGGGCTTGGGGAGATACCCACCTTTGGAACCGACGGGTCCATCATCCTTCTCCGTATGTCTCCTCCGGCACCAACCTGCTCCGCCGTATCCTCCCTCTATCCCTCCTTCAATCATGAAAAGGTTATCCACTCGTGGGATGGCACTCTCTGGGAGACAGTATCCGTCTCTGCAGCACATTTTGTTTGGCATTACCGGCTCGTCTCAGCGCTGGAGTCGCCGCAAGGATTTGGTGTGGTTGTGGCGGCGAATTTCGAGGTTGCGAGGCCACATTTGACTTGAGGAGCAGGTTCCTCCTGAGGAAAACGACAATTCTCTTCCACTAATCATCGTCTCCATGTACTCTTCCCGCTTCCGTTATCAGAAACTTGGAATCCAGGAGGAAGAAGATGAACTGAAGAGAGAGAAAAGTATGAGAGAGGGTCGAAATTTTCTACTAATCTTATTCTCTTCTGTTTTACAACATATATACAAGAATAACCGTTAACTAACTCCTGTACCTAGACGCTACTGTATGTTACATTCATTCGAACAGAATGTTCACTGATACACCCCCCTCAAGTCGATATCTCACTGTCTTGAGAAGGGAGATATAGACTTGAAAGTTGTAACCGATCAATCATAGTCTTGAAAGCAGATGGTTGCATCGATTTGGTAAAAATATCTGCAAGCTGTAGATCAGTCCGAACATGTAGCGTCTTTAAGAACCCTGATTTGAGCTTATCCCGAACTATGTGACAATCAATCTCAATATGCTTCGTCCTCTCGTGAAATACGGGATTGGAAGCCAAATAGATTGCAGACTTGTTGTCACAGTAAAGGTTTGCAGGAGCTGAAACATTAACATGGAGTTCACGAAGCAGATTATCCAGCCAGATTAACTCACATGTTGCATTTGCCAAAGAACGATACTCTGCTTCAGTGCTGCTTCTCGATACTGTGTGTTGTTTCTTCGATTTCCAGCTCACTAGAGAATCCCCAACAAACACGCAATACCCAGAAACTGATCGTCGAGTGTCTGGACAAGTTCCCCAGTCAGCGTCCGCAAATGCATTAAGATGAACCCTTGAGGAAACAGAGTACATCAAGCCTTGACCAGGATTGGCTTTAAGATATCGAACAATCCTTTGTGCTGCCTTCAGATGTTCTGTTGTTGGCTTTGCCATGTACTGGCTTAATTTGTTGACTGAAAAAGTGATGTCTGGCCTTGTGATAGTGAGATATATCAGTTTTCCAATCAACGCTCTGTATGTTGTTGAGTCTTCAAGCAATTCTCCTGCATCTTGACTTAGATGAGTGTTTGGGTCCATTGGCACTGCAACAGGTTTACAGCCAAGTAATCCTGTCTCTTCCAGCAATTCAAGACAATATTTCCTCTGTGAAACTGATATTCCAGCTGAAGACCTTGCGATTTCTAAACCCAGAAAGTACCTTAATGGTCCAAGATCTTTTATGTTGAATGCCGATCGAAGAAGATTCTTTAATTCAGCCACTGCATCGTCACTGTCACTTGCAATGACAATGTCATCCACATAGACCAGCAAAGCAATAAAGCTATTCTTTGTTTTCTGAACAAACAATGTGTGATCCGCATGCGACTGTGTGAAACCATTTGCTAGCAACACAGAAGAGAACTTGTGATACCATTGCCTTGAAGCCTGCTTCAAACCATACAGAGATTTTTCAAGCTTACAGACTGCATTAGGAGGAAGAGATTCACCTGTTGCAGATGTGTAACCCGGAGGCAGTGACATATATATGTCTTCTTCCAAATCACCATGTAGAAAGGCGTTGGTCACATCCATTTGAGTAAGTGACCAGTTCTGAGACGCTGCTAGGGCCAACAGAACTTTGACAGTTACCAATTTGGCAACCGGAGAAAATGTATCACAGTAATCAACACCTTCTTGTTGTGTAAATCCCTTAGCAACTAATCTGGCCTTATAGCGTTCGATTGAACCATCAGCTTTCCTCTTAACTTTATAGACCCACTTACATCCAACTGCTCGTTTTTCTGAGGGTAAAGAAACTATCTTCCAGGTACCAGTATCTGTCAAGGCTTGCAACTCTGCATTCATGGCTTCTCTCCAATCAGCTGATAAGACAGCCTCTTTGAAAGATTTTGGTTCAGGTGTGGATGATAAGGCAAGAGTATATTTCTGAAATGGTTCAGACAATTTGTCATAGGTCAGGAAGGTAGAAATGGGATAAGGTGTTGTATGAGTGGGTTGAGTTTGGTGAGAAACGTATGAACAATGATAATCTGCTAAGTAGGATGGTGCTTTGGTTTGTCTCTTTGGTCTGTGGTCTGGACTTTGATGTGGTTCCTCTGTATTCGCAATGTTAGACGCCAAATCTTCT